TGCGAGAACAATTTCAGGTCCAGCACCTGTTTCAATCAAGGTTTCGGGTTGTTTTAAGGTCTGGGTTGCCTTAATGCTTAACAGCAGTAGTAGTAGTAGTAGTAGTAGTAGTCGTCGTCGTCGTCGTCGTCGAGTCGTCGTCGTAGTGGCAGCAGCATCAATGATCGGCTCGACGGCTTCGATGCCCACCAAAGCCTTGACCAAAGCCTCCAGCACACCGCAGGAGTTGCACGAAGAGCTCCAGGTGCCGGTGATCTGGGGTTGCAAGATCCTGTGAGGGGTCTCATTTTTTTGGGGGGGTTCGGCTTTAGACGAACCCCAGCTCACATGAGGCTGACTGCGTATCGCATGCCAACTTCTCGGTACACAGACAAGTACGTATTATAGAGATGCCTATGCATACATACATGCATACATGCGTAGATGCATACATACATAATAAATGACACTGTACAGATGTGTGTATACTTCTATTCTGTTATCTGTCTACACACATATCTGCAGATACATGTAGAGGCAGAGATATAGAGAGAGGGAAGGCACATGGCATGACAGAGGGAGAGAGGCCGCGGATGCAAAGATGGACAGATAGATAGATAGATAGATAGATAGATAGATAGGTAGTCAGATAGACAGACCGAAAACTGGATGCGAAAGATAAACCGAGCATTCTGGCGAGCCTTGCTGGGGCCTGCGCGCACGATGATCCCTTAAGCGACCCTAAACCCTGAACCCTAAAGCCTGAACCCTAGCAACCTGGTCCAGGTTGGCAAGACAAAGTCCGTCTCCAGGCGATGGCTGGTGGGGACTTTCACGGAGGCTGGGCTTCCACCATCCACCGAGTCTGGATGTTCTGGTTGTAGATCACGTCTTGTACCTATAGTCTCCATTGCAGTTCCTTTTTGGGGTTACCTTTATGGATCCTCAATATAGAATTGGCTAAACCAACAAAAGGAACTACAATGGATGCTATAGATATGTCGTGCTGTATCACGGAAGAAGTCTATGCAGGGGTGTCAGCGGTTGTGGGAGATCAGGAGTCGTAACCGCCATCGGCATGACATGCATCATGATCATCGTATTCATCATACTGCCAGCATAGTCAGCACCGTCACCACCATTGTCATGACATTCGCCATCTTATGCTTTTCGACAACATCGTGACAGCGAGTTTGTTCGGTGCTCCTGTTCTGTTTGGAGTAGGGTCCCCTTGAACTTTTGAACCGTTCCGACAAGATAGTGTTCAGCTGGCGCACGCATGTAGGGCAGTTGCATCACAATGTTTCCATCAGCCCGGTCTTCGTTTCCCTGACTCAAACCTAGACCCTAAACCCTAAACCCTAAACCCTAAACCCTAAACCCTAAACCCTAAACCCCTAGACTCAAAGACAAAGCCCCAGACAACCCATGCCACCCTAAGTGCAGGAGTCGGGGAGTCCCAAGCCCTAGGGCTCCATGTACCTATCGTTAAAAGGCTTCCTATAAGCCCTCAGTGTATGCTATGCCACATATTATCTAAGCCCTAAACAAAGGCTTCCTATAAGCCCTCAGTGTATGCTATACCACATAATATCTAAGCCCTAAACCCTAAACCTTAGACCCTGGACCCTTAACAAAACCCTAAACTCTAAAACTTAAACCCTGGACCCTTAAAAAAGAAACAAAGCCCTAGCGGAGCCTCAGGGGAGGTTCAGACGCAGCGTCCCTGATACCCACGGTTCGTCAGGGGCATGAGCTCTCCGCGTCGCGAAGAAGCAGCAACATCTCCGAGGTCCTGAAGCTGCTTTCTTTGGGATTAAGGTTTAGGGTTTAGGGTTGACCGTAGCCTACCAAAACTTAGGTCCCTATAAATTCCATAGTAGGGTTTATAATAAGAACCTACAAGTACAAAAACAAAAGTAGGTTTTGGTGGGTTAAGGTAGGGTTTAGGGTTTAGGGTGTACCACAACCCATCAACAAGTGCCTTACCATAGAGCCCTTACGGTCCCCACTAGTGGGTAATTTAGGGTAGAATAGAGGGCAGTTGGGGGTAGTTCTGTGTTCTGTTTGCGTTTACATACTGGTTTGCATTCCGGATGGAAGGATGGTGGCCATGGTGCACGAGGTAGTTGCTGATGTATTTGCATTGTTTTGTGGTTGGTTTCCCCCTTTACTCTCTCGACGTCATCGTCCCGAAGCCCTATACACTACATCCTCTATACTCGATCGCGTCCTCGTGAAGTCGGAGCAGGCTAGCCTCCGGAGGCTGTGACGATCGATAGAGATGTTGAAGTCCATAGGTCCGTAGGGTCGGGCGATCTTCTGTTGTTGGATGACAGGTCTGACTAGTGCTACTACAATTACAAGATTACTACTACCTGTTACTATTACGATCACTGGCGCCATAAACTATGGTTGCTATTCCTATTTGTTCCTAGTACTAATACTTTCCTGCCAGGTCACCCCCATCTCCCCGCGATCATCACTGCCACGACCTGAGACCATCAAAGTGTCCGTTCTGCGTTGAGACCAGCGGGTGGACTCATACGAATCTCGAGGTAAAGGTGCGCTTGCTACTGTAGGTCCTCAACGGAGATTTGTACCTTAGCCCCAACCCAAGCCGCATACAACACCACGCGCTATGACTCTGAACCCCAAACCCTACATCCGAAGACTTGCACTTTGCCCCACGGGGAGGGGTAGGGTGCGGGCTTGGTTCAGTGAGTGTTTCCTAGGTTTAAGTTTGCATTATTTTATAAGGATCCTTACAATGGATCGGGGTGTTTGCCGTAATTTAGTGATGCTTACTATAGGATCGGGGTGTTTACGCGGGTTCCTTCTTGTTTTGTTAGGAATACTTGCTTACTTATCTGCATTGTGGCCCTGCTTGCCGCCCTAAGCCCCAAGCCCGTACTGAGTCCTTTCAACCAGTCAGTGCTTCTTGAGTCTGGATTCTTGTTAAAGGGCTATCATTAAACCCTAAACCCTAGAACATAAACCCAGGCTAGGGGTTACTGACTTTGGCGCCTTTAGACCTACAGTCCTTTGGTGCTCTATAATGCATCGACAACAGGGTTCTATAACAGGGGCCCTAACAAGTATTGCATGTATGTGAAAGGGATTATATCGGGGTAGGTATATATATATATACATACATACATATCTACTATCTATCTATCTATCTATCTATCTATCTAGAACGACTTACTTCAGGAAAGTGGCGGCTTCCGAGGAGGCACATTCCGAGCGGGACGAGAACGAGGTGGGATATGTCAGGATATGTGCACACACACACACACACCATGTACCCAAAAGCTGTGGGCCCAAGACCTCAGTTCCCAAGCCCCATGCCGCATTATGCCGCCTGTACTATTCTTTTGGATTCCAAGCTTACCCCTGTGCTCTTGCCTAAACCCTAACCCCTAAACCCTACAGCCGCGTGCTCTCTTGCCTGGCCTGCGCAGCTTTAGGCGGACATCGAGCCCACAGACACGGCGGACATCGTGGTCAGCCTGTCTGGTGAGACCGAGGCTTGGGTTTACGCCTTCGGTTTACTTACGGTTGATGATATACCTATAGTCTCCATTGTAGTTCCTTTTTGGGCTTACCTTGTAGGATCCTTAATATAACATTGGTTGAGCCTAAAAGGAAAAGGAACTACAGTGGAGACTCTAGGTACATCCTGCATTGCCCATAAGAAGGTATGTAGCATAATGCCCATAGTTAAACCCTCAACCCTAAGCCCTACAAGGCCCTTTAAGGTAATGCAGGAATTATATCATTTGCAGTCGTCTTCAAGTGCAACTGCGAGGCTCCAGAAGTTCGGGGTTTTGCGTCTGGGGCCTGGGGTATGGATGTAGGCAACACGAGCAGAACATAACCAAGGTTTGTTGCTTTTATTTCTATTATTGGTCTGATTTCTTCATTTTGACTAGTATCATGTTGATTAATTGCTTTGATCTTTTAAGTTGGTTTTGGTCGTACAAGTCTGTCTGCGTAACGTGTTTACAGGGGGTCTCTAACCGAGGTGTCCCGATGCCCACGGTTTAGGGTTTAGGGTGAAGCCAAAACCCGGTGAATCCCCAAAACAGGGGCTTAGGGTTTAGTAAGGTTTTTCGGAGACTTATGGTATACTTTAGGCTTCAGGTAACTTACAGTTTAGGGTTTAGAAAAACCACCCACAAGGGGTAACATAAGAACCCAACAGCAGACTTTACAAGCCCTTGGCTGTTAAGACTCTCTCGAACCCTTGATCCCAAGCGTGCAAAAACAAGCCTGAAGTACTGCTCCTGCACAGTTGCATTGTCCGAAAACCTAAATCAGACACCATCCGTTCGACTGACGAACAGGGTTTGCCTGCGAATTCCACACCCTACTGTCTCAAAGGGTTCAACACCGTGTGATTAATTCCCCTCAACCCTAAACCCTGACCTCTTCCTCAAAGGGGCAATAACCTACTACCTGTAGTCTCCATTGTAGTTATTTTTGGGTGTACCTTTGTGGACCCTTGATATAAAATTGGTTAAACCCCAAAACAGGAACTACAATGGAGACTATAGGTAAACCCTAAACCCTAAACGTAGTTCCTTTTTGGGATTACTTAAGAGGATCCTAAAGATAAGCCACAAAAAGGAACTACTATGGGGCCTAGAGGTAGGTTGTAGGTAGGATTGCAGGGTGCTCCGCTACGGCGACTTTGCCCCTGCTTTGTGGCTTCGCCCCCTCCTCTCAACCTCTACCAGCCACGGGGTTCAGGGTTCAGGGGTTTAGGGTTTAGGGTTTAGGGTCGAAGCCTAGACCAGCGTTTGCCCCAGCAGCTTCACAACCCAGAGAATTGTTGAAGGATCCAAGCATGAAAACCCGGCAGAAAGCGCGTCTTCACATCCTAAATCCCTCCGCCCACAAAACGTAGCATAGCCCTTGGGATGTCTATTTCCTGCATCCTTACAGGATCTGGGAAGGATTTTCACAGGAGATTTCTGAAGCTCAGATACGAGTTGATCAAGGGAATGTTAGTTGCGGAGACGTATTGGTAACTTTTCTTGCTCATTAACCCTAAGGGTCCAAGTGCCCATTATTTAAGGACTTTGCGGCTTCTTTGGGTACCTAAAACCATAAATAAGGACTACTTGGACCCTTAGGGTTATGCATCAAGAGATCTACGTAACGACTAGAGTTTTGAGGCTGTCTTGTGATCCGCTTGGTTCTGTAGAGCTGCACCTGAACCCTAAACCCTAAACCGCTTCTGGCGCTGTAGCAGGTCTTTTAACACAGCTGAAGCCGAAGAAATCGAGACCCAAAAGCTTCAACTCTTATCAAGTCATGTTCAGGGAATCCCCGCACTACTTGCCCTTCATGCCGGTTTCCTATTCTTGGGACTTACTATAACCCTAAACCCTAAACCCTAAACCCTAAACCCTAAACCCCTAAACCCTAAACATTCTTGGGACTTACTATAAGTCTAAGCCCTCCAGCTTGATCGGAGGTCGCCGAACTCTTGCAAGGCCTCTGAGACTGAGAAAGGTGGTAGTAGGGTTCTCCCCTTTTAGGGTTTAGGGTTTAG